ATTTTAAATAGTAAGTATGTTTATTTAGGATGTTAATAAGTTTTATTAACAAACATGCGAATAAGAGTTAAAACGTGTTAATAGATCATATACATTTGAAATTATGTTCTGGATTTATATATGGATGATAGGTCATTATATTTTGGCATCTTGTATTTTTTTTTTATTTTTTTTAATAGTCGAAAACGATTATTACAAAATAGTTTATAACCGTACCCTACCAACTTTGCATAATCATAAAATTTCCCTAACATTCAAAATGTTATAAAATAGTAGTTTTTGGTGAAACTGTGATATCATCTAATTTGCATGCTTTTACAGTATTAAAATTCTGGTTCGTTAAAATCGTTAAACATATATATTAACTTCTTGATGTACATATTTTAGGTTTATAAAGTAATGTTAAAACAAAAAATAACATTGTTAAATTTGCAAGGTTATTAGTGGAATGAAAATCAAATAAATTTAAATTTCATTGCAATATTCATATGGCAAATTATATTTGAAATTAATTCAATCATATATTTATTTTAGTAATCTATACAAAATAATAGTAATCTATAAGAAAAATACTTATTTTATTATATGATTCTTGCCAAGATAAAATTCTATATACACGATCCAATGATTTCGACACTTTTTTTGCATAAAAAAAGTGTATTCAATTGAAATGAAAAATATATGCATTAACAATTTACTATTTTAAACAATTTTATATATCAAATTATTAAAATAAGTAATTTAAATGAATTGTACTATCTTGAGTTGGCGTATAAATATAATTATATGGCGAGTAGAAAAAATTCTTATTTGAATGATATAAAATTAGATCACTTGATAATTTTTGCTGCGGAAATTTCCCAAGTTCTAACATAATATTATTATGTTCGTTTTTTTTCTTCGTACAAAATTACTCTATCACTACGAATAGTGCTATTAAACAGTAGACATTTTTCAGATGGATGCCAAATGAAAGTCTATGTGACGTGTTATGTCGTTCTTTATAAACAAAAAACAAAAAATGAAAGGATTTCGCGGTGCAACAGACAATCTGGAAAAATCGCACTATTGTTCCGGTTATGAGATACAGATAAGGAAGACTTTCCAAGATTAATAACCATCAACAACACTGACAAAAAGTACAAAACTCTTAAATGATGTTAATCGATTGATATTACATTGTAGGTGGTGTTGAAAATTTATCACGCACGAAGTAGATACAAGTGATACGACGAAATGTATTTAAAAAAATGATTTTAACCGGGAAATATTCATAAAAACGTTTGACAGAGTTTATGTATCCTCGTTTTCGTTTTTGTGTCTGAGAATACTTTCAATTTTTTTTTAACTAGCTATACTATTTTACCATGTTATTGTTGTCAATACATTGCACCCGCACATTTGACAAACAGAACGTAT